AACTCTGCGGGATTAACCAGGAGCAAAGGGTGTGTTGACGACGTTTCTAACACGCAACAGACACAAACATTCAAAGTACAAACATTTCCGGATAAAGAAAAACTGCCACACATGTAGATGACACTGATGAAGATGTCACATAAACCTTTGGTGTAACGAGGCGACGCTGGTGTCGACACTGTACTGAAAACAAAAACGTGTGAGCTCTGCAGAGAAAACTAAAACGCTACGTCCTACCTCTGCCTGCTGTGACACCTCTCACCTTAACGCTCCAATGTATGTGTTGTTGTGAGCACGTCTGACAGCTGCGTTGTTCATATGTGAAAGGCAAACTCTCAAGAAACTCCCGACCCGAATGTCCATACATTTGTATCTGAATATGGCTTAGGTTTGAAATTCTCCGCATGGTGGATGTTTCATTATTTTTCTTTTTGGAGTCTCATCTATATCCCATTCTTTGCTGCTGCAATGACCCAATTTCCCCATGGGGATCATTAAAGTTTCATCTTATCTTATCTTATCTGCCCCTATCCCTCTCCCCTCCGTTATCACCACCTCACCCCCCTTCCCCCACAGTCCTTCACTTAATTATGTCCCATGAATGAAGTTCATCTTTCATGCTGCCAGCAGCCGGCAGCATGGCTCACCCGTTCTGGGCTATCCAATCATGGTGCATAGACCAAACTAAATTTAGACAGCCGGCGTGTGATGCCTGGCGGGCCTTAATGGCGGCTGACGTCTCAAGACAATCTGCTGATGTACAGGATACACTCTGGCTCGAGCAGGCTGCAACCAAAGTTGACTAATGCTGATGACTTGTGAACCAGTTTGTTTCGCTCAAAAAGTTTTCAAGGGGATCACGCACACAGAGGTGAATTACTGTGCTGACTAAGGCCATTCAAACTTAATGAAATCCTGCATTTACATTTTAGGATCTTGGCCAATGCTAAGAGTAATCTACGTGAGGCGAGTAAAGCAGTGGCAAAGTGCTCCGAGTGATGCAAACCTGCACACTTTTTCAAATAGCAAAGCAATCAGCCACCCATGTTGACGGCACAGGATTTGTGTATGTAGGTTGCCATCACTAAATGTTTTAGTGGAGGCAATGATTATATGATCATTAAGAATTAAAAGAAGAAACCCACAGATTTACACATTACTTTCCAATTACAGGTGTTGCAGAGTTTTTCATATGTGGAAAAAAAGCTGAATTAAGTCTGATGAATTGCATCCAGTGGTGTTATTTCCATGAGTGTCGTTTGAAAATGTAAAAAACTGTGTCTGAAGTTAGAAATGGGGGAGGTTATTTGACCTCTGTGACATGCTCCTTATCTCTGCTTGAGGCCAGCAACTTGTAGCTACATTAACCACAACTGACATAACCGCCCCAGAATCTGAGAGCAGACTGTCAGAAGTCGAGCTACTATGCAGTGCAACGTAGGCGCCAGGTTTTCACCAGAGAGAGGTGTGAGTGGTTCTACTGGATTGTCCATCAGTATTGTAAAAATAGTGTTATATATGTGGAGTACCTTTAATGTCTATCTATCTATCTATTTACAGATTTCAGAAATCTCTGTCTGTGTCAAATATCTCAAGGACCATTCATCTTTCATCTTCCTTAATCTTGATGATCAGGGCCCCAGTAAGTACAGAGTCGAATTTTGGACACTTGATACGCTCAATATTAATAAACATGAATGAACTGGTGACCAGTGCTCTGTAGCAGCGGTGGCTGTCCAGTTCAGGTTTCTGCGCACTAAGTTGAGCATCACTTAACTATGAATAAACAGGTGAACAGATCTTTGTGCAACAGCAGGTTCATGGTTCTGCAGACTGAGTTCTAAACTTGGTTGTGTACTCGTCACGACTAAATTACTGCAGGTCATTTTTGTGGTTTCAAAATGAAAACTGCAATCAGTAGGCCAAGCAAAAAACAAAAACACAACAAGTCGGCACTAATTCTCACAAATGTAGAGGAGAAGTAGAGGCCTTCAGCGTAAAGTAAAAGGTAATTTTCTGCAAATAAAAGCATGACTGATAAATCTGCCAATATTTTCATATGGCAAATATTTAATTATCAGGATATTTTCAAGTCACAAGAAATATCAGTGCATAATACAAGACCTGACTTTCAACTGTAAAATATCTTGGTCACAAATGTTAAACAACCAAATTCAAAGAATAACATCACCTGATATATTGTTATCCATTGATATTGGCATTTCAAGAAATCCAGTATAGATCGAGGATATACTAAGATCTCTGAAGACCACTTGATGGCATTTATTGTGAATGAGTTTGCCGCTGAGTTATTTGCATTGGCAGCAGCAATGACACCATATTTCTGCGATACAGGAATCAAAAGAGATGAAAGCTTGCCTCTAATACTAACCTGTCTGAAATAAATGACTGCTAGCCTCTTTAGACGTGGATAATTAGGCCCATAGCCACCATTTGAGGACGGCGGCTACGGTGTTTAATCTGTGTCATTTCTGCGGTGAAATATCTCTGAGAGTCTTTTTCCATTTAAGCATATTTAAGGTATTTAGACAGGCACATAACCCATGCTCTTGCTCACTACAGCACTTTTATAATTCTTTCCACTGGTCTCACTTCATGCTCCCCTTCTATCAGGCACACTCCACACACACACACACGCACACACACGCACACACACGTGCACACACACGCGCACACACACGCGCACACACACGCGCACACACACACGCGCACACACACACGCGCGATGAGGGCATTTAAAAGTACCCAAGGACACCGATGTACATTCATTCTCTTAACATAAACGAGATCTGAACCCAAAGGGGCTTTTAACTGAGTTTGACAGGTCCTCCTCCTCCATTCATCCACTGCCATATTTTTCTTGAAAGTCTCTGAGGTCACGGAAACCAACAATTAAAGCAATATTTATCGATTTCACCTCATGCACCCATGCTCTGTCGGACCATTTGTTAACGAGACAAACTCACTATAATAATAAAGATTTCAAAATGCTGCCTATGAGCTGCAATTAACAAAGTAAAAAAGTATATTAAATTATATATTTGCTCTATTAACATAATAATATAATCATCTCTGACAACAGTACACTGGTATCACTGACCAAGAAGTTGATTGGTGTGATTACATAAAATTAGATTTAGACAACTACAATTTTTGCTGTGAATTGGGATAACAGTGATTCATGATGAAAATGTAACCTTTTGGTTCAAAGAACATTTAGTTCCCGTCTGTATGTTTCATATTCTGTATATAAAGATGGACGACACATCTCTGCTTCCTCTAACTATTCAGAAATTAAGCCAAAATCATGACGTCTTTGTTTTTATAGCATGAATAAAGAATAATTAACACTTGAACAAACATCAGTGTGATAAGAACAACTGTAAATGACAGAAACTATCTTTGAGAAAATGTATTTGATGTGGATTTTGACTTTAATGTTCAGTCAATGTCCCATCTGCTAACCTAGAGGAGGAGGGGTTTATGTCCTACACCAAGGAGCGATCAAGACACCTTGACTTCACTTTTGTGGAGCTATCATGTCCTCCATCTTTATATACAGTCTATTGCAGTGGTCGCCAACCTGTCAATCTCGACTGTCTTCACTATCGATCCCCGTAACTCTCTGGACTCACTGGTGTCAGAGCTGCAAGTCTATCTACTGAATTACCTTGAATGCAAGTCAGATCTGTACCGAACTAAACACCAGGACACTATGGTAGGAAGACCTGCATCTTCTGGTCTTGCGATAACAATCAAAGCCCCATTAGAACAGATGAATGGATTCAGAAAGTAAATGCTGGATTGCTTTTACTTTGAAACAGGTTTGGGAAGTGAATATGTACGTTTGTGGCAAATCCGACAGATAAACATTGTGGTTGACAGCAGAATAAACAGAGAAAATGATCTTTCATCTGAGTTTTATGCATACATACATACATGTAAATGGTAGCAACACTTCCTGTTCATTAGTTTAAAAGGGGGGGGGGGGGGTTTATTGTGAAATATTTGCAGGAGCAGATGCACGGCTTAATGCTGTACAGTTTGTATTTATTTGAATACTCAGGACTAATTTTATACAATAGGTTTTCATATATATGGCCATATTCAAGGCAAAGCATATGTAGAATCATTGTTCTGCAGCAGCAACTCCTTTGCAGAACCCCCTGTTGAACGGAGAAGCTAAATTGAACAGATGCTGTCTTGGACTTGAAAAGGTTGGTCTATGGTATCTTACATTAACATATTAGCTTTTTCTTAATTTGAATTAAATGTCTTATTTTTAAAATAAAACAAAAACATGTTTTTGTACATTCTTTTATACAGTATACCAGTATACAAGTATAAAGAATGTTTAAATATATCTACTTCAGTACTTCAGGGTGTCTAAGCCTCCAGGTCTTTTTCTGGTGCAGGTGTTTCTGTGAAATGTGCATACAACTCTACAGATTCAAGGTACATATGCAGTATTTCAGTATTTCATTCCATGCCTGTCAGTTATACACTGGCTGGATTCTTGACATTGAAACTCTACACTCAGAGTGGCTCGATTCACAAACTTCTCTTTGATGTAGTTTTATTGACTTAAAAACTTGCTGCAACAAGTTGGCGCAGAGCAGTCAAGTTAAGTTTGAGAGGACAGAAAGTCAGCTGTAAAGAGGGATGCCTGCGAGGATATCATGGTCACTGGAGTAGCAGTGGTTAGCAAACACAGTCTCTGGGGTTGGATAAACAATAAAGGCCTGTCGTTTGGTTAGAACAAAGGCCTGTCATTTGCTTTTGTTGTTGGTGGAATTTTTCCCCTTGTAATCTGCATGTCCAGATGGCGGGATGACTTTCTCCCTTGCAGCGTTGTTAAAAGCGCAGTACAGCTGGCAGCCCGACTGAGCAAACTATGAGTGAGAAGCGAAGGAGCGCAAGGAAATGAAAGAGGATGACAAGGGAGAACATGGAGTACTTGTTGGAGGAGTATCTCTTACCTAGATCTGTGTTGGGCCCAGCCAGCAACTGTTTGAACTTGTCCAGACGGGACGCTTCCCTCTCCGTCATGGCTGGGGTGCCAGACGTGTTCTGGTCGGCCATGCGAGCCACGAGAGGGATGACGGGTGGCCGGTGGGGCAGAGACCGCTGTCTGTGGAGGGCTGCAATTTCACCTGCTGCATCTGGAGGGCAGATGACAACATGAGACAGGATGAAGGGTCACATCAGCACAAACATATAGAGGAATTGTATACGATGCAGCACAGGATCTTGTTGACACGATAAAGGTCCATTGTCATATTGAAGGCAACATATTTCAGTAAATGCATACGATTTTTTTGTTTAGTCCCAGAAATGATCTATAGAATCTGCTCAGACGTCTGGGTTTAGTTCTCAGTCTGCAGAACTTTGTTTATTTTTTCAAAAGAGCATGGTTTTGTTTTTATGTATGAATTTCACTTTCATCCTCTTCCTCCTGATTCGACAACATGGGTGAGGGGAGGTGTGGGCGGAGGATAAAAGTCTTCGACAGCTCCATATTGCTCCGTACTCACTAAACCATGGCGACCTTTGAGCAATCCAATCAAATCCCAAGGATTTGATTTAAATCTCTTCTGGAACACAACCCAGCCCACATTTTCATTTTCACCTAACAGTGCTGAGAATAAAGATGCTCTCACTTTTCAATGTAACTTCACTGAGCCCAGTTTGTTCTGTACAGAAAAATCCATTAATTCTGTTCGGAGGACGTGTTTCGTCCTGTTCTATTACACTACAAGAATGTGTCTTTTTCAAGAGAGAGAAGAAAGGTTCCCTCGAATCTGAGCAGCAGTGAGGTGACACAATATGTCTGGCACTGATCAGTTAATCAGTAACTGCTGTGCACAGCAAATCACTTGATAGATTTGCTTATTCAGGAACACAGAGCCAATAATATAAAGGCACTTTTTATCTTATTTGTTGAAATCCATTTCACGTCCCAAAAGTGATCAAGCGATCAATAAATAAAGGAGTAACATAACCATGGACCAAATGAAATGTTTGGCTGTTGTACCTGTCTGCCTCCCTGTGCATGGAGAGACATACACCGCTAAAGAAGACACAAGGCTGGTGATCGAGTCACAGAAGAGTCGGCTTCTAACAGTCATCAGAAAGTGTGTGTTCATGTGTTTTGGGGGCTTAGCTTTCATGAGAGTGCTGATGGGAGGACGTTGGGGTGTATCGGTTGCATATTTGTGTAACCTGCTCTTGCAAGCTTAAGGCCATACCAACCCTAGCTTTTAAGTACAAGTCTAATCTGTATTACTAAAAAGTAAAAGTAGAATCAGGCTAACACATGGTCTACATAACACCACAGACACTTACACTTGTAATCCAATGGCCCTTTAACATTACTGTATGGTTCCAGCCAAGTGAGAATGAATGTAGTTACTGTTAATGGTTTGTTTAGTAAAACGCCTCCAGGGTGGCAGCAGTTGCAAATTTTCTGTGAAGCAAATTAACTCAGTCTGCTGAGGGCCACATGTTCCCCCAGATGTGTGAAATGGAAAAAACAAAACAAAGTGACACACAAGAAAAACAGAGACAAGTAAAGTTATGAAGGAGCTGCTGGGTTCAGGAGATCAGTGTGCAGAAGGACGTTCCTTGTGTCATGGGCACTAAAAGAAGTTCATAAAGAACCTTGTGTGTACATAAAAAGGGTTTGGGTTACTAACCCAGCCAACACTTTTCATACCACCACAACACGTCTACTTTGTGGATAGAGTCACACAAACTCCATAGCAATTAATAAAACTTGAACACTGCCTATTTTAATACCCCCTTTCACTTTTTACAGGAGCAAATAAAAGGCTACAAATCTGTTCCCAACCACTTCATTTGCACTTTCAATAATTAAAAAAGATTATTAGAGGAGGCTGCAGTGTCTTTGTTGTGGAATCTTTTGTGTGACTGTAACAATCAAACCCCTTTTATGGGTCATTTAATTTTTTTTTATAATTTTATGGGGCAGTAAAAGAAAAAGTCAGAGGAAGTTAGGTGTGTCCACTTGTCTGTCACAGTGAGGAAGGACAAATACATATATCTAAATGCACAAACATAGAAAGAGGCCAGATCTCCTGAGGCTTTATTGACTGTCTATCAATAAAGCACTATTTCTGATAAATTGTGTGTGTGTGTGTGTGTGTGTGTGTGTGTGTGTGTGTGTGTGTGTGTGTGTGTGTGTGTGTGTGTGTGTGTGTGTGTGTGTGTGTG